TCTTAGCCACTATGCTACCAGAGCTCCTATGCTATTAAAATAAGAAAAAAAATAAAATAAAATAAACTCATTGCCCTCAAGTAGATTCTGACTCACAGCAACCGTTCCTTGGGTTTCCGTGGCAGTATATCTACGGAAATAAATTGCCCAGTCTTCCTTAATGCTTCTCAACTTTAATAATACCCTTATTAACTTCAGGAACTTCCTTACTAAAATCAGAAATAAGGAATACACGCATGCATCCTAAAATGTGAATTCCCTTCCAGTCACATCTCATCAAAGCCAAGCTCACAGTTTTTTGTTTTTAAAAAAATTTTTTTATTGATTTGGGTGCAAATTTACATAGCAGATTCGATTTACTCTCAACAGTTCATAAAAAAATATGGAACACTTCACGAATTTGTGCTAATCTTCTGTGTATCATTCTAATTATAGTATATGTGTTGCCGAAGTGAATATTGTATCTCACAGTTCTTATCTAGGAAAACTTGCTCTTCAGTGACATGGATTCTATGCACAGTCTGTGCCCGTCCCCCACATTCCAGGTTGCTCAACCTTGTAGAATCATGGATCTCCCCTTGAGCAAATCATTATCTTAACTTTTCTGCAAGATTGCACTTTGCCTCCTCAGCCACGGCTGCCACCACCAGCTAATCCCACTGACCACCTAGGTAAACTTTGTTACAAAGACCTCTGTTTTCAAATGATTTATTTTTAAAGTTCTACAGTAGATGGATAATAAAATAACATTGGTTCAAAGAAAATTATAAAACATACCACATTTTTATTTAACACATTTGCAGTTTCATTGCTTGTTGAGTGTTCCACATTTTCTAAAAGTACAGAATAAAAAAAGCCTAATCCTCACTATCAAAATTGGTCATTTTCTTTTGAAATCACCTTGTTTGTATTCTCTACCACACAGACTGGTATTTGCTTAAGCTATCTTGTGCTATGCTTGAATTCTGATCTCTCCAAATGATTAGTTCTTCAAGATGATAAAATCATGGAATCTTCCAGTTAGAAGGACACTTAGAGGTCATTGAGGCTAGTCCAAATGAAAAAGTCCCCTCTATAATATTCAGGATAGTCTGTTGCATTGTTTACTTGAATTCTTCCAGGAGTCAGTCCATTACACTATTGGATTGCTCTGTTAGAAACTTCTTATTTATACTGAACCAAAATGTGCCTTCCGCTTTCTACTTTCCCCAGAGAAACAGTGGGTCATAAAAAATGAAAAGAGCACTATATCTGAAACCATAAGAACTTTTTGAAGCCAAATTCCACCACTCTCTAGCTCTGTGACTTTGGATAAGTTCCTTAATTTTTCTGACCCTGTTTTCTTATCTGACAGCACTCTAAGCACAGTGTCAAGCCCTTAGTGTATGCTTAGCCAATGTTAGCTGCTGTCCTTTCTTTTTCCTCCCCTTAACAACCCTCCCATATATCTCCAGTATGTTTTCTTCCACAAGCTTGACCCCTCATTGAATCTTTATTTGGCCTGCTTTCCAGACCAACCATCTTACTACTTTGCTCCAAGAAGATGACAAATTAAAGTACATGTGTAAATAGTTTATTAGCATTGAAGATTTACAGGAAGGAGGGGAACTTTGTTAGATATCCAGGATTGGATACTAAACTTAATGTTACTATTTTTTAAAATTAAAAATGGAGAACATTATAATTTTCATTGCTTTTTTTGCTAGGTGCCATCAGTCAGTTCTGAGTCATAGTGACCCTATGTACATCAGAATGAAACACTGCCCAATCCTGCACCATCCTCACAATAATTGCTATGTTTGAGCCCATTGTTGCAGCCACTGTGCCAATCCATCTCTTGGAGGTTCTTCCTCTTCTTCACTGACCCTCTAATTTACCAAGTATGATTCCCTTCTCCACGGACTAGGCCCTCTTGATACACGTCCAAAGTACTTGAGACAGAGTATCACCATCCTCCCTTCTAAGGAGCATTAAAAGACATGAATAAGAGAAGCAGCAATCAAGAAATCAGATAATGTATTATTGCATTGGGAAAATCTGTTGCAAAAGACCTCTTTAAAGAGCAAAGACGTCACTTTGAAACTAAGGTGCACCTGCCCCAAGCCATGGTATTTTCAGTCACCTCATATACATGTGAGACCTGGACGATGAATAAAAAGGTCTCAAAAGAATTGATACATTTGAATTGTGGTGTTGGTGAAGAATATCGAATGTACCATGGACTGCTAGAAGAACAAATAAATTTGTCTTGGAAGAAATACAGCCAGAATGTTCCTTAGAAGGAAAAATGGCAGACTTCATCTCTTGTACTTTGGTCATGGTGTCAGAAGGGACCAGTCTCTGGAGAAGGATATCACACTTGGTGAAGTAGAAGGTCAGCAAAAAAGGGGAAGACCATCAATGAGATGGGCTGGCACAGTGGCTACAGTGATGGGCTCAAGCATAACAACGATTATGAATTTGGCACAGTACTAGGCAGTGTTCCATTCTGTTGTACATAGGCTTGCTATGAGTCAGAACCAAGTCAACAACACCTAACAATAGTAAGAAAGTGGAAAGGTAAGACTCAGACTTGGAGAAGAGATTTATAATCCATGTATCATACAAAATCACATAGCTAGCATATACAAAGAAAATCTAACCCACTGCCATTGAGTTGATTCTGACTCATAGTGACTCTATAGGACAGAGCAGAACTGCCCCATAGGGTTTCCAAGGCTGTAAATCTTTACAGAAGCAGACTGACTCGTCTTTCTCCCACGAAGCAGATGGTGGGTTCAAACTGCCAACGTTTTGGTTAGCAGTTGAATGCTTTAATCACTGTACCACCAGAGCTCCTAGTATATAAAGAACTCCTAAAATTCAACAATAAAAAGACAAGCAACTCAATGGGGGGGGGGGGGATTTGAAAGGCACTTCATAAAGCAGTATATCCAAATGACCAATAAGCATAAATAAAAGTACTCAACATTTGTCACCAGGGAAATACAAATTAAAATCACGATGAGATATCACTACACATCCACCTGAATGGCCAAACTAAAAGGGGTTGGCAAAAACACAGAGCATC